CCCCAAAACCCCAAAACCCCAAAACCCCAAAACCCCCCTCACCCTTACATATCCCTAATAAATTTACAAAAAAGAGGTCAGCCATGCAGAACAAAATATGACCTGAGAAGGACTTTTTGGAGAAATTAGAAGACCACAGGGGGGAAATTGAAGAGAGTAAAGGAAGAAGATTCGTTGGAGGAAGTGGAGAGTAAGGGTTTAAGTGGGATTTTGTAGGGGAGATGAAGAGTTGGGAGGGCAGCAATGGGATTTTGGGGGGAAAGGATTGGATTTTGTAGGGGAGAGAGGGAAAGTTACCTTGGAGAGGGAGTTTTAGGCAGAAGATGGATAGAAGTGCCTCTGAGGAGAAAGAAATGGAGCTTATTGATGGGGATAGGAGGGATGGTTGTTATAAGTCTGATTCTAATATTAGCAAAATTATGCTTTTTGGAGATACTGATAATGCTGTTTCGTTATCATCTATTGAAGAAGATCTTTTCTCTGATCAAAACAAATCTCAGGAAGAGTCTAAGAACGGTAAAGTGGACAAGAGCTTTATAAATATTTTACTTAAAAAGATCCGAATTGAAGGAAACATCAAAGAAGTGATGCGTTCGATTGTGAGCAAGGAATATGTTGAGACTCAAGAGTACAGATTGGAGTTCAATATTTGGAGATGCATTAAAATCTTCATTTATCACATGTGATGGTTTTTCTTTGGATACCTTTTTGGATTCGTCATGCTCTTGATAGAAGGAAAAAATCTGACAGAGAACATGGGATTCCTATTAGGACATCAGGTCAAGCTTGGAGCTCATCAAGCAATAGCTTATTTATCATTCATTTCATACATGGTCTTATCCATATTCTCTCCCAACTACTGGTGGTTTGGAGATACATCAAGAAAGTTCCTCATAGTTATGATAATGTGTCGATCATTCGTAATCGGTGTCAGATATGGCTTCATGTCAACAGCCAGATACAGACTTTTGAGATCAAAAGCTAATTATTCTTGGATTAGAAGTGATCTCCTCTTGTTTGGCTGGCTTGAATTAACTCCAAAAACTCTTAAAGAAGAAATTAATGCTAGTAAAGCACGAATTGAGATAGATAATGACCAATTTGAGTTTACTTTTTGGCAAGATATTCCAAAATCTCTTGACCAGAAATTATCAAAGCAAGGTAAGAACTCCTGTCATAATTATTCTAGATTACTATGACCGAATTAAGCCAGAAGGGCATTACAAGAACATCATTCATCTCCAGAAAGAAATATTGGCTAAAATGAAGCTCAATAATAATTGAACTATTGATGATGAGTTAGACTTGATTCATAACCCTGAAATCACTGTTTCAAAGACGATGGAGAAAAGAAAGCTCAAGTCTAAGATAGAAAGCTTTATTAACCTTAAGCTACCAAATTCAGTTGAGGATCTTCCTCGCTTAAAGACCAAGAAGATTTACAAAGGAGAGCCTATCTTGAGGGAAATGGGATTACTAGAAAGCAGTATAAATAACTCTTTTCTTCCAATTTACTTTATAGTGATAGTGAGATTGATACTTCCTACATTATCCAGCCTAATCGAGCATGACTTCAAATTCCCTTTCGAGTGGTATGAATACATACTGATCTTACTGGAAGGTGTTCTTATCTTGGTGGTTTATGGAGCCAATCTCTCATTCATGTTCGCTGGAATCATTGATTTTAAAAGAAAATTGTTCTTCATGAAAATTCTGAACAGCCTAATTTCTTTCGAAAAAGACAAAAAATTCGTATTCTCATCTTATTTTCCAACACTCAATGTATGAAGCATTAATAATCTCAGTAGTTGGCTGGTCCTCCGAGAATCTTGACTTGACCTCGGAAGGAAGTACACTCAGAGAATCTTCATTTACTGCTCTGTGTTCATGTTCTTTTATCTAACCTTGTTTGTATTCATGGTTTTATGCTTGCTGAAGTTCCTAGAATATGAATTATCATTGGGATTTTACATTGTAGGAGCTTTCGACATCATAGTTGTGTTAGGGATAATGCTAAATATCCTTAGAATGGGAGCTAAAGTTAATAAATATTTTAATATTCATAAGAGGTCTCTCTTATCCCTCAAGAAGCAGGTCTGGAAGGCAAGAAATAACTATGGGATAGCCATTTCTCAACGATATTCTGGGTATATCAAAAGGAAACGGTTTGCAGAGATGCTGATTTCCATGAATTTAAAGAAAGACAAAAGAAATGATTATTTGGATCGACTACTTGAACAGATAAATGTTATCAATGAAGAGCTCGATTTTTTTAAGGAAACTAATCCTTTAAAGCTAATGGGTCTTACAGCTTCTGATCAGCTCCTCAACTCTATCTACACAGGACTGGTATCGGTAGCATTTGCATTAGCCCAGTCATTCTATCAAGACCTAGGAAATTTTGGGAGATAGATATCAGTAAATTCAAGTGTGTAATTTTCATTTCAACTAATAATCTCATAGAAGGGGTTTTGGGGTTTTGGGGTTTTGGGGTTTTGGGGTTTTGGGGTTTTGGGG